CTGGCTAAAAATAATGCATCGATTTGGCTCATTAGCCGGGGCGACGACTGTTACCACACTAATATAAAGTGGAAATCCCAGAGGAAACTGGGGGTGGGGCTTCCAAAAGTTCATGGACAAATGGAGTTCAAAGATGGTAGGGTTTTCTCAGGAGTCTTCGGAAGCCCTCTCGTATGGGAGCTCTCTGTACCCCGTTTCTTCTTTTTTAAAAATCTGAATGCATTCTAAAATAAGGTTTTTTTGGTTGGCTGCTTATCAGTTGTTGAGATGACAGGCAACTTCTTTCCTTGGTTTTCCTGTTTTCTAAGCGGTCTAAATGGATATACTTTGTTTTTATTACCTCAATAAACCTGTATTTTTAAAACATAAGATGAATGGATGGGAATTTGGCACTTTGGAGGCTGCGGGCTAAATAATTAAGAGTATAATTAGACATGCTCCCTGGGCAGCAATGAGCACCCGACTTATCGAGCTGTGCCCAGGCAGCTCTGCCCGCTAGGCCCGCACACACCCCGCTCTCTAGTAGGGCTGGTGTCTCTGCAGTCACTCAGCCACCTTCCCTGTAAGCACTGCCTGCTGGCAGGGGATGGGCGGGGAGCGGAGCTGCTGCCTCTGCTTGGGGCCAAAAGGCTTGTCCCAAGTGAGGTCAAACCTCTGGTTCAGAAAGCCCCAGGGAAATCAGTCCTGAGGAACCAGTGACCAGTTCCCAAGCCAATGGTCAGCCGGCTCTGGTCACTGGCCTAGAGGCAAATGAGCTTCAGTTCTCACCTCACAAACAAGCCAAGCTGTTGCTATTGGAGTCAGCTGATTCTTGGTGACCCTGTCTGGGCACGCGAGTAGGGGGTGGTGTGTGTGTGGTTACACTTAAGTAGGGTGTGTGTGTGTGTGTGTGTGTGTGTGTGTGTGTGTGCGCACTTGGTGCCCAGAGTTTTCAACAGATGAGATTTTTGGAAGCCAGTCCCCAGTCCTTTCTTCTGAGGTGTCCCTGAATAGGTTCAAACTGCCGACCTCTGGATCAGCAGTCCAGCACAGTAATTGCTTGCACCACCCAGGGGTTATAAGCAAACAAAAGAAACAGCCAGGATGCCCTGATTCATCAAGGTGCTTTAAGCTGCCATCATGTCGCCCTCAAACTGATCTCATAAAGTAGATCTTGTCCTTGGGTCCTTTCAAAACGCAGTCTCAGAGAGGGTCCCACCACTGAGAAATAGGCTACAAACCGGGGCTACCCACCCCTCTCCCAGAGCCCCTTGCCTGGGGCCAGGTTTGTCTCTAATCTTCTCAGAGCTGGTGATCAAGTCCCTCCCCTCCAAAATGTGTGGTAAATCCTAACTCCCACACTTGTAGCTGTCACCTATCTGGGGAACGGGTTTTCTTGTGCAAATGAACTCATACACCAGCCACCTCTGAGACATGAAAGGCGTAAATTAGAGAGAAGCAAGCAGAGATGGGGGAATAAAATCACCACGCCACGTAGAACCAAGGAGCACGAGCTGAAGAGAGAGACAAGGATACCCCCCCACACTCCACCACACCCCAGAGCCGAGAGAGAGCAAGCCTTGTCCTGAGTTGGTCAGTGCCCAGTTTCCTCAATAGTGAGGAAGTAAATTTGTTTGGTAAAGATACAATTGTGGTATTTCTGCCATAGCGGCACCCTTTTCCATGTAATGCACCTGTGTAAATAATGCACAAATCACACACACACACACACACACACACACACACACACACACACACACACACGGCATCCCCAGCAGGAAGGGCTGGGTGGTTTATAAGGCACACCTGGCTCTCGGGTTATTTGTATAATAGACAGGTGGGCTATGACAATGGCAGGTGGCGTGGCCACATTCAGGGACAGGATCCTGGAAGAGGAACAACCTCTCGGCAGGCTTCTCTCAGCACCCTACTGCCACTCCCCAAATACCAAGAGCCTCTTGGATAAATACCACTGGTTCTGGGGCCCTAGCCCATCCCAAGCCCCAAGTCCAGCTTCCAGCTCATAGGGCACGTGAGAGCAAGCACCTGGGACAGCTCCTTGTTCCCAAAGGTAGCCTGGGCCATCCTGGAGCCCAGCTCACATGGGGGTGGCCCTCAGATAGGGGGTGGGAGGGCATGGTGTTGGGGCATTCTCATTGTCATGAGTGAGGCCACATACCCTGTGAGTTAGCAACCAGAGCCCCAGCCTGAGAAACGCAATACTGTCTGGACACCTCTTCTAGGGGCCCTTCCAGCCCCAACCAGCTCTTCAGAAACTGTCTGAGCTCAGAGCTGCCTTTGGTCAGACAGTCACCCAAGCAGGCATCCAAGTGACTTCCAGCTGTTTTCAAAACTCAAATCCACCTGAAAGAGATCACAATAGGTCTGGGAGAGAGGGGCAGAACAACCTGGAACAAAACTCAGAATCATTAAAAAGCAAACAGACCAGGCTTACTGGTCAGAAAGACTGGTGGAACCCTGCAGCTCTGGATCTTGGCTACTCTTAGAGCTTGGAAGTGAACTCGCCCCACAGCTCAACTCTCAGCCAAACAAGCTTGTGGGCCTAAGGGCGAATGGTAACCTGCAGCAGTGTTTCCCAAAGTGAGACACACTCCCCCACCGACCAAGAGAGGGCGGGGGTGAGGGGTGGGAGACCCGCAAGGCAACGTGAGATACCACCCGCTGCGGGGAGAGGGTACGGGAAGAATCCCAGGGGGGGCTGTAAAAGCAGACACCCGCACTCTTATCTTTTATTCTGGGCTCTACAGAAAAGATTTTAACTGTCAAGGGGGCACAGAGTCATTTTATTTTTTTTCTGAAAGGGAAGGGGGTAGGTCGAGTAAGTTTGGGGTCTTGTGCACCAGAGGGCGGGCATATACTCCTTAACCTGTGAGCAGAGACCCCTTTGGGGGTCGTTTCACAGGGATCGATGAATACATCCTGCATTAGATATTTACATTACAATTCTTAACAGTAGCAAAATAATAGTTATGAAGTAGCAAGGAAAATAATTTCATGGTTGGGGGTCACCACATGAGGAACTGTATGAAAGGGTCACGGCATTAGGAAGGTTGAGAACCACTGGGTTAGAACCATCAGTCATGAGAGCAAGAGGGCAACTCCTGCCCAGGGAGGAGGCTCAAAAGGCAGGGGGGCAGGAAAGGACAAATGGGAATGGAAACCCAGGGAGGAAGTGGGGAGAGTGCGTTACACCGTGGGGACTGCAAGCAGTGGCACCAAACAGTATGTGTACAAATTGCTGAATGGAAAAGCAATTTCCTCTGTGAACTTTCACTCAAATTACAGTAAACTAAACTGTGTATGTGTGTGTGTGTTAAGGACAGCACCCCCCCCCCCCCCCCCCGATTAAAAAAAAACCCAGATCCCCAAAGTGCGTCCCTCTGAGGCCATGCCCAAGAGCCCCAGGCTTGTTCCAAGCAACAAAAACAAGCTCAAGAATGAAGTTACTGTCCCAGGGAGCACCCACTCACTGTGCCGTCAGACAGAGTGTGTACACACGTGTGTGCCTGTGTGTCCTCCTCCCCCGACAGAGGGGCAGCGTGGACACCCCCACTGGCAAGCCAGATTGGGCTCCAACTTCACCAGAAGTGGGGCCCTCGCCCCTTCTCCCTGCCAGCACAGAACCTGGCCCGCTGAGACCGGCCCAGGCTCCATTTGTTTCACTAATGAGTCTTAAGTGTTTGGCTTGGGTTCCTGCCAGCCCCACAGGGAGGAGGGGGCTGAAGAGAAGGGACCAGAGCTTGTGCCAGCTCGACTCTGCGGGCCCTGGGAGGGCTGGCACTGAGCCCCCTGGCACACACATACACACTGGGGTGCAGCTTGGTGCCCCCTGGAGGCCTCTTGCCTCTCCTATTTCCGGGAGCAGATCTAGGGGCAGCCCGCCCCTCCTCAAAGACGAACTCTCCCAGGAATGGGCAGCTTTAGAGGTCAGGAGCCACACAGCTCTAGGAAGCGCTGAGAAATGGCTGGGAACGGTTTGCCAAAGCATGACTGTGCATTTTTCTGGAGAGGAGCCTGTATCTTTGATAAGATTCTCAAATTCGTTCTGTGGCCACCCCACCCACCCCTACAAAACTATAACCTGAGAAGCACCGAGTGAGGTGATTCTGAAATTCAAGGTCATTCTGCCCTCCTACAATGAGGGGCCCATCAAGGTGAGATGGCTGGATCCTCTCCTTTCACGGAACCTCACAGAAAGACGATCCTGGCCCTGGAAGAGGCCGCAGGTCAGTCAAAACCAGGAAACTGGGCTCAGGTGGCCAGCAGGGCAATAGCCAGGGGCTTGGGTGGAGGTCAGAGATACCCTCCAAGGCTTTGAGCCTCCCTAAGGAACATTCCAGAATGTCTGAGCTCAAAGGACCCTTATGGATCAGAGAAACCAACCCCCTGGTGAGAAGGGAGTTTCCCTGGTATCTGCTCCTATCTTTCTGGCCACACAGCCAAACATTTCCCAGTCTTCCCTGTAGTCGGCAATAAGTTGACTCTCCTCCCCTCCCCCGATGACTGAGCCACAACAGAGCAGGAGCCTGGGTCGTCCTGAGTGACTGAGGTGCCTGAGAAAGCACCCCCACCATAGCTATCGATCACATCGTGACAAGGAACAGGACTTTCGTGTGAAGCTGAGATCTGGAGGCTGAGTCGACAGCTAGCCCATTCTGCAAACAATGCAGAGGGAGGTGGAGGGACAAGTTCAACATCACAGTGAGCTCTGGAGCAAGAACTAGGACAGCGGCTTCTCAACCCGTGCGTCACAACCCCATTGGGGGGGTGCCAAACGACCTTTTCACAGGGGTCGCCCAATTCATAATAGTAAACAAATGACAGTGATGAAGTGAGCAACGAAAATAATTTTAGGGTTGGGGGGTCACCACCACATGAGGAACTGCATTAACGGGCCGCGGCAATAGGAAGGTTGAGAACCACTGACCTAGGACCTCCCAACATCACCTTGGCTAGAGGGCTGGAGAGCCGAGCACACAGCACAGCCTGGGCAGCACCGATTCCGAAAAATCTTTATTGTTTCAAGTGGCAAAACGTCATTGGTCTCTGTGGGGCACCTGACAGGGCGTGGAGGAAGAGGGGTGGGGCTGGGGCAAGCTCCACCCATTACAAAAATCAAAGGCTTTTATAAAAAATGCTATAAATTGGTATCAAAAGAAAACCCACATGAGGCTGGAGGAGGAAGCAGAGCAGGAGCGGAGAGAGGGACGGAACCTTCAACCACTGATGACTGAGCCAGGGTGGCTTGGGCAGGGGGATGGGGGGGGTACAAAGTGCATAAATGTGCCTCCTCAGACGCTCCTCAGAGGTGGGAGGGGCAGAGGCTGCAGCCTGGTCACGGTGGGTCCAGCTGTCTCCTCGCTGGGGGACCCCACAGGAACAGCACTGCCTGAGACTGCCAGATGGGAGGGGCCTGCGGCAGAGGAAGGAACAGGGGTCAGGGGAGAGGTCAGGGGACCACCTCAGGGTCTACCCTCCTGCCCTACAGTTGTGAGGAGGATTCTCCGTGACTGTACTGAAAGCTGGCCTCCCACCAGGTCCTGGAGAACCCCTTGGGGACTTCGGGCAGAAAGGGCCACAGAACCATGCTCATGCCATCCCTAGTACAGACAGCAGGGACGCTGGGATGGAAGTCCTCCTCCTCCTCCTTCATGCCAGCCCAGACACTATCCTGCCCTGGGAGCCTCCCCAGGGCCCCACATTCCACCTGCCTGCACCCACCTCCAGGCCTTCTCAGACCTTCTTCTTCTTCAGCTTCAGGGCTTGCAGCCAGCTGGGGGATGACCCTTCTGACCTGGAAGAAGGAAGACAAAGTGCAGACGGCAAATGAGCCTAATGAGGAGGCCTCCCCAACCAAGGAGCCAGCTGGCTTCAGAGACCAGAACTCTGCCACCAACTAAAGCTAGTTAAAAACACAAACAAACATGGGGAGATCAACCGCCTCTCTGGGCCTCGGTTTCCTCCGTAAAATGGGTGCACAAAGCAAGAGGCACAGTAGGTGCTGCCAACAGCGTAGAATCTACCCCCACCAAATGTGGGGGTGGATCCAGTTCTCCTCATATACCCCCCCCCCTTTCTCCATCCCATATGCCAGCCAGCCACCTGCATGGCACTTCCTACTGTGACCCAAGCCAGGGTGCCCGAGTCAGAAGGATACCTTCTTCTGAACTGCCACACAGGCAGCTGCCAGCCCAACGGGTCTCCCAGCCCGTGGGTTCACTGGAATGGAACAGCGTCCACAAGGAGCACACCATTCCCACAGCGACAGCTTTGTTATAACCACACCGGATACCAACAATTGTCTAGGGTGAGGTCTGGGAAGGGCCCCAGCACAGAGTTATGGTGGGCATGCTGCTTTCATACAGGGTCCCCAACCAGGAAGCTCCTGAGCCTCAGGGTTCAGGTCTCTTATTGGTCTCCCCACAGGGTCATGGTGCCTCCTGAGGCTCAGTCACCATCAGGCTCCCAGGTGGTCCTTTTTGGTCTGCTTGGTCTTCACTCATTAACCTCAGGTGTTGTCCCAGCTCAAAAGAACCAAGCCAAATTGCTTCCTGCAGAGATTCTACATCTGGAACAGGTCTCCCTTTGCAGGCTAGTACAATAAGGCCAGTTGATGTCGAGAGCTTAGGTAACCTACCCTGAGGACTTCTCTGGCTTGGGAGGTAACGAGAGGGGCTTCCCGAGCCCGGGAACCTTGCAGGACTTGGAGCGCTGAACCGCAGACTCTTTCTGGGTTGACTTGCTCTCCACCGGCTCCCCTTCCTCAGCTGAGCGATTCCGGGGGCGCAGCTTAGCCTGTGAGGTAAGACCAGATCCAGAGAGATGTAAGCCCAGAAAAGCAAGAGCATGTGCAGGGTGCCAGGCTTTCTCCAAAGAGCATGAGGACACCACCAAATCAGGTACACAGCCCTCTGTGGTCCCTTAACCCTGAGGGGTGGGGAGAGTCACTCAAAAGATAAAGCCAAAGACAAGGCCAGCACCTGGCGCAGTTGAGCCAAGCCTTGTTTGCCGTAGATCTTCAGGAGCCACTGCTGAACTGAATTCTAACAAAATGCGTGGGACCAAAGGAACCCTGATTGGGCTGCTAACCACAAGGTCAATGGTTCAAACCCACCAGTCACTACATGGGAAAGACAGAAAGCTTTCTGCCTTCGTAAAGACGTACAGCCCTGGAAACCCACTCGGTAGCATGGGTCGCTCTGAGCCGGAATCGAGTGGCTAACAGTGAGTTTGGTTGGAGTTTGGCTTTGTCAGACGAGACAAAGCCAGGTGACTTCCACCCATGTGCCGATGTTCAGTTCCTTCTCCCTGGAATGTCTCCCTGCCACCCTTCAGACTCATCAAAGAAAAGAAACACCACAGTCAGCACCGAGTCCACTTGGACTCACAGGGAAGCCGGGTCAGAACAGAGCTGTGCTCCACAGGGGTTTGGGATTTTCCCTACATTTTATTTGTTGTTAGACCAATCAGAGAAAAACATACCTGAGCAATTTAGTGACACTGATTATACTCAAGTGTAATCCTTCTCACCCTCGGTTTCCGAGCCATCCGTCCCTCATTAATATAAACTCACTGCCCCCAAGGCTCCTGTCTAATCTCTGTTTACTATGGTCGGTTTGATCCCATGTAGACGATTCTTCTAAGAGCATAAGACACAATGCAGACTTTTTTAAAAAAAATTTTTACTAGTTAAGCTAAACTACTGCTCAGTTTGAAGAGATGATTTTGGGGCCTATTCTTGGTCTAAGGTGTACAGATTATCTCAGAAGGATAGTTTCAGGGCTTCAGGCACCCTCCATGGCCCCAGAAAGCCTATAGTCCACAAGAATTTAATCCTGCTGTGCATCCGCTCCCCCCCCCCCCTTCCCTTTAGAGCAAGATTCTTCTGCAGAATGCTAAGATCAAACGTTTCAATAATGGAAGGAGGTGGGGGGAGTTTCAATAATGGTAGCCAGGCACCATCCAGTTCTTCTGCTTTCCTGGCAAAGGAGGCAGCTGTTCATGGAGTTCAGTAGCCACAGGTTCCAAACCCCCCACCCCCCTCCACTCCTGACTCCTATGTCCTCTGCTGTTCCAGGTGAATTGTGCCTTGGATGCCACTTGCAAGACCCGGGAACACACAACGCATCGGAGGCACAACAGAGGCACGAAACACTGGAGTAAGCCAATTAACTGGGATGTTCCCTGAAACCATGACCCTAAAATCTCCAAACCAGGAGCCAAATCCCACGAGGGGTTTGGCTCGACAAAGACTGCCTCAGTAGGTACTTTGTCTCTCTGTACACAGGGAAATCCCTGTGTCTTTTCATTCCATGTTCCCCTTAACTCTTCAAAGCCCCCTCATACCATACAGTGTTTGCCAATCAACCTTTTTCACAAGTGTATAACACACTGACAGTAATTGCAATCACCGTTACCCCCTGCGCCCCCTCATTCCTAGGAAATCACTAATAACCTTTGACCTCTATCCATTTGTCTCTTCTAATCTTTTCTATGTAAGTGAGGCCACACTGTGTTTCTCATCTTGTGACTGGCTTTTCACTCAGCCTTGTCATCGAGCTCCTGCCATCCCAGTGTGTGTCAAGACCTCGTCTCTCTACCGGCGGAGACCTACTCCACTGCAAGCAAAGTGCCACCTTTCGTTCTCCGTTTGGGTTCTTCCTCTGTTGATGGGCATTTCGGCTGTTCCACCTGCTGACTCCTGTGGACAGTGCAGCAGGGAACATTTGTGTAACGAGTCTCTTTCTGGGTCTCTGCTTTCAAGAGCATGCAGCTGTGGGGCGGAACTGCTGGGTGGGGCAGCTCTATTGTCAGGTGACAGAGGAACTGCCATGGTGGCTGTCCCATGTGGCATTCCCATGAATACTGGATAAGGGTTGCAGTTTTCCCACAGCCTCAGCAACATTTGTTAACTTTTTCTGGGTTTTGTTTTGTTTTTATCTTAGGCATCCGAAAATCAAAAATCCAAGCCAAACCCACAGCCACACACAGTCAAGTCCAAATGGCAGTGACCCCACAGGACAGACTACAATGGCCCTTTGGCGAACACCTTTACGGGAGCAGAAAGCCTCATATTTCTCCTGTGCAGTGACTGACTGATGGATTCAAACCACGGACCTTGTGGGTAGCAGCCCAGAGCATCGTCCAGAATGCTACCAGGACTCCTTAGTCATCCTAAACCAAAAACTCTTTGCCATCCGGTCAATTCTCAAACTTAGTGCCCCAGTAGGACATGGTAGAGCTGCTCTGTGGGTTTCTGAGGCTGCAAACCTGTATGGGAGCAGACAGCCACATCTCTCTCCAGTGGAGTGACCAGCGGGCTCAAAATGCTGACCTTGTAGTTGCCAGTCCAACTGGAACCACACTGGGCCCCCAGGGCTCCCCTTAGCCCACCTAGTGGGAAGGAGGTCATTGTGCATCACTGTGATTCTGACTGGTGTCTGTCTGTGAGACTTTCAATGCTGATTCTCTCAGAAGTAGACTGCCAGCCCCTTCTTCAAGGTAGCCCTGGGAGACCAAGCCACCAAACTTTCAGTGAACAGGCAAGTGTTTAACTGTTTTGTACAAACTCCTCCAAGCTCAAGTGCTTACAGGAGGCCTTCCCTTGTACCCTCCCCTCCGGTGCCCCACTGCTATGAATCAACTTCTCTCCCCACAAGCCTTCATCTGCACCTCCCCAGTGACACCCCAAATCCCTGCAGCAGGGTTCACTATGGGCCCAGCCCATGGCCACGCTACCCTGCCTGGGAGGAGCAAGTGCTTGCACAGCGCACAGGACCAAGTGGGACACAGGACCCAGGCTGTGAGGACCGAGTGCGAAGAGGAGAGGGAAGAACGGACTGGATTCAGGGGGACCAGCTAGCCAGGCACCGGATGCATGAGCTGCACAAGCAGAGGGTACCTTCAGGGCAGATGGGCTCAGGGCAGGAAAAAGGTTGACTTTCAACCCCTTGCTGCCCAAGGACATCTTGGTCCGGCGGCTCTGAGGCTCCTCTACCACCTCCTCGTCAGATGATGGCAATCGGGAAGCACGTGGCTCTGCAAGCAACCAGGAGGTGGGAGGTGGCTCAGCATGCAGCACCGGGAGGGTCCCCAGACCACCCCAGCCCTGTGCAGCCCAGGTCTAGTGCTCCCCACATCCACACCCAAACAACACCAAGCCAGGTGCTGTGGAGCTGGCTCCAACTCGGGGCGAGCCCGTGAATTGCAGAGGGCAGCTGCCCATGGGGTGTTCGTGGCTGTGACCTCTCAGAAGTAGATCGCCAGGCCTTTCTTCTGAGGGGCCTCTGGGTAAGCTCCTTTTGGTTAACAGCCAGGCACTTAAATATTTGTACCACGCAGGGCCCCACTTCAACAGGGACATAAGACCTCGCCGAGGGACACCTGGCCCTACCTGTGGAGTCCTGGAACAGGCGGGTGTCCGAGTCCGCTGCATCCGAGAGTCCCAGGGTGCCACCGGGCCGGATGGCAGGGGCACGGTGGCCACGCTTGCGCCCCAAGTTGGCACGGCTCCGATACATGGCACTGTCAAGGACCTCTGTGTCCTGCTCAAGGAAAAGCGCCACCAGTGTGACCGCTGGCCCCTGGTCCCAGCCTTGCCCTGGGCCAGCTGACCTTTCCAAGGCCTACAGCTTCCTATGCACACCACACACTCTCAGACCCTCCCTGGGGGCTGGATCCACCCCACAAGACCCCACCCACTGCCTTGGGCTCACCCTCCACTGACCTCAATGAAGGAGAAGTCCTGACTCGGGGAGCTGGGGGTCGGGCACGGAGGGGGCCGCCGAGGAGTCCGGGCGGGTCCCTGCTCACCCCGGCCAGCCCCTGGGGGGTTCCAGCCACCATCCACTTCTTCTGTCCGGCTGGCTTCACCATCAGGCTGGGGTCTCCAGGAAGGCAGAGGGTCCATGCCAGGTTCCAGGGGCTCCCCTTGGTCGGCGGCAGCTAGGGTTGCTCCCTCCTGTGACAGGTACCCGGGGCCTGAGGTCCCCGAGTCCCTGTGGGCTACAATCTTGGCACTGTGGGCAGCCAGCATCTCTTCCAGCAGGTCCTGGGAGCCTGAGGGCGGTGAGCGAGCAGGGAAGCTGTGTGGGCTGCACCTGGACAGAGAGAGAACGTGGTCAGTGGCGGGCTTGTCCCGTAGGTCAACTGCTCGGGCTCCGAACCCCCCACCATGGCACTCACCGCTCTGTTTCTCCTCCTGATGCTTCAGGGCAGGGGGCTTGACGGGCTCAAAGCCCTGGCCTGCCGTGCCATGCCATGCCTTAAAGGCATCTTGTGCCAGTCCCTTCACCCCTAACTTTGCTGTCCAAATGGCGGAGAGGTGAGAACCCTCACACAGCACTTGGTACCCGGTGTGCATCCTGTAGGGGTGCCAATAGCTCACCTACTCGGCTGCTCAGAGAGTTCACCCAGAGGTGCCATGGAAAAAAGGCCTGGCGGTTGGCTTCTCAGAAACCAGCCCGGGAAACCCTGTGGAGCAGAGCACGGTCTCCCCAGGAGGGCGGCCACTGGTGATGGTTGTGCTCTTAGGGCGGCTGCTGCTATTGCTGCTGCAGGTGACAATGTGTTCCAGCCCTCTGGTGGCCACTTCCCAGGGGTGAGTCGGGTCCAGGCCCGCCTAGCTCCCAAGTTCCTGCATTCCTTCAGCCTTGTCACACCTCTCTGGGGCACCGGTGACTTCCAGAACATGCTGCTGTGTCTCTGAACAGACCACACCTCGGTGGAGAAGCACATCGTGTTGTGCCTTCAGCTGTCCCCCCACCAGCCCCCCACCCCCCTGCCTCCGAGGGAGGGACAGCTCCTCCTCAGCTCGAGCCTGGCAAGCCCCCTCAGGCCCCACTGCTGCCCACCGGCTCCTCCAGGCAAATCCTGCCTCACTCTGTGAGCCCCCAGGGCCCAACCAGGAGCAGGACAGAGGAGATGCCTGCTGAGAGACGCTAGGTCTCCGTGGGCCCCCAACACAGCTTGCCTCTCAGGATTACTGCACCCTAGACATGAGTGAGGCTGTCAAAGGCTCCATTTACCTGGGCCCACAGCAACCAACACCCAGGGAAGCAGCCGTCGGGGCAGATCTGCTGCGAAAGACCCCACTACAAAGTGCCAAAGAGCAGAGAAGCCGTGTGGGAACCGAGGTGGGCCTTTCCACCGCCTCCCACGCGTGGGAGAGCTGGGCAGGGACTGAAGCATTCAGTTACGGAGTCCGTGAGGAAGACTGACAATGCCACACAGAACAAAAGAATCTGTACGTTCGGTCAAGTACAGGGTCCACGGAGAAAGAGGGAGACCCATGCCAAAATGCATGAACACAACGGTTGCAATAACCAGCTCCAACCTGGCAACTCTTAGGAGGCTGGCTCAAGACCAGGCCGCGCTTCCCTCTGTGGCACACGGCTGGTGGGGAGCAGGCTGGATGGCACCTACCACCACCACCGTCCCCCCCACTCTCACAGACGCACGCAGCGCCTACTCTGAGCTTGTGTGTATCTGGCTGCCACTGTGCTGCCCCCTGTCCCTCTGGCAATGCCCACACACTGCGTACTTCACACAGGGCACCAGGTGCCCTCTGCTAGCACTCCCACAATACACACCTCACTTGAGATGTGTGTGTGCTGTCTGCTGCACTTCTACAATGCATACACACTCAATATGCAGGTGTGTGCACCCTCTGCTAGCACTCCAACACACACACACACACACACACACACACACACACACACAACACACCTCACATGGGATGTGTGCGTGTATAAGCTGTCTGCGTCATTTCTACCACACACACACTCATTGTACACCTCACACAGTGGGTGTGCCCTCTGCTGCCACTCCCTCTAAGCACACCTGTGTCCCCACCCTGACGCACCGGCTGGTCCCTGAGTTTCCACAGCAGGCTGTGGAAAGGCCTACCAGGCAGTGTCCGGAAGTCAGCCTCAAGTCCTGGCAGGACTGAAGGGAGGGAGGGGAAGCAGGTGAGTCAAAACCACTTCAGAAGAGGGGGAAGGCGAGGGCATGTGTCAGTCTGTCCTTCCACAAGCTGCTGACAGATGGAAACTGAAGCAAAGCGGGGCGAGGAGGAGGCAGCGGCGGTGGCGCAGCACCAGGACGAGGGAGCGGAATTGGGAAGCGCCCTGGTGGGGCCCCGAGCCAGCTCATCCTCAGACAGCTGAAAAGCAGGAAGGCTTGGGAGGGAGCGAGGGGTGGCAGGGACACCCCACCCAGTCAGGGGCCCTGCCCAGCAACTCTGCCTGGGCAGGGCTGAGGAGGACAGAGGGCTAAAGGGATGTGAAACTCCCCGGGTGACTGGTCCTGAGCCACAAGGGCAGAGGTCAGGGGTGGGAGTTGGGTGGGCTCTGGAGGTTCCCATGGGGGGTGGGGGTGGGGGTGGAGAGGCCCAGGGAAGGCAAGGAACATCCTGCTCTAGCTCAGCCCCCAGCTGGGACCCTCACCTGGGGACCCATTTGTCCACCTCTTAGGCACCCAGAACACACACAAGCTGGGTGCTGACCCTGGTCCAGATTGAGACCACCACTTCCAACGCCCAAGGCTTTGGCCAAGACAGAGGCCCATTCTAAGCCTCAGTTGCTTCACCTGTCAAATGGCAAGGGACTTCTCAAAAACCAGTCATCGGCAGCCCCAAGGGGCTTGGTTTTACAGTGTGGGGCCGCCGTGCATTAGAGTCCACGCCACACTAACCAACCCTGGATGGAAGGAGAGGCTATACTGTCTCCATTTGCCTCCAGTCCGACTCCCCACACCACCCTGCTCCCACACTAGTCTTCTCAGTCACTAAACACCATCAGGGGCCCTTCATCCAGCAGACAGACAGACAATGACAGCCATGCCCCCAAGGGCCTCAGTGTAGGGACAGGTCAGTTCCAATTTGCAAAACAGATACAAATACCAGGGACTAACGCGGGGGTGGGGTGGGGGGGAAACACCATCCGCCCCAAAGGGAGCAGCTCCCCTGTCTTACAGGGTGTGCTGTGCGTTGGGCTTGGGGCTTCTCTCAGCTACTGTGGATTTGTCCCTCGGACCTCACCATAGCCCCGTGAAGTATAGTTGAGCCTGAAGAGGCCTGTCTCAGAGGTGGACAGGGCCTCCAAGAAACTTCCCTCAAGCTAGAGCTGCCCTATGGCATGCTCCCGCCAAACCATCCTCGGGAAACACCAGGTTAAACAGCAACCAACTGAAACCCACCAGATCCTGACTCGTGGCTACCCTGTTGGTTTTCTAAGCTGAATCATCTTTCTCCTAGGGAGCGACAGGTGCACTTGAACCACCAACCTTTCCATTAGCTGTGCTACCAGGGCTCCTTAGAGACAGGTCACCATCTTTACATGCTCACACACACTAGTGGATACAACAGCCTCCTCTCTGATCACGGTTACACATGGATGGGTGTTCTGAACACAGCATACAACTCAGACCAGCCCTCCAGGCCAACAGGGGAGGCACACGGTTCACCTGTAAGGCCCCCAGGGGTACCCTAAACTCAGGCCACACCCACACTTGCCGGCCTCCCTTCACAGAGCCAGAGAACTCAGACTGAAAATCTGTAACAGCCTCCTGAGGTCACTCCGGCCTGCCCCCCTAGCCCAGCCCACCCTCCTGAGACTCGTGGTTACTGCACGTGTGTCAGAATGCCACTGTGCTTCACTGGGGTTCCTTCCCAGGTGCTACTGGGGGACTCCAACCTTCAGCCTTGCAGGCCCAGCCAGCCTGCAACCTCCAGGCAGCCTCCTCTGGCTACAGAGGCAGGATAGGGAGTGGGGTGGATAGGTGGCTTCTCGATCAGCCACCTAGGGCCTGAGAGTTGTACCGTGGCCTGCGCGCCCTCTCTCCGAGAAAGCGAGGCGCAGGCTGTGGGCCCTTCTCCCTGCTGCTGCTCTAGACAGGGTGAGAGCAGGGGCCACCCCTCAAAACAGCTCGTTATCAGGACATCAGAGGGCAGCCAGGTGCCGCAGCATGCTGAAGCAAGTGGCACTACCCCACCCCGCCACCCAGGAACTGGAGCAGGTAAGCATGCCCCCCCCC